AATCTTATATTCTGCTGTTTTCGACGATACATCGCTTTTTCTTTCATCCATACCCTCCCTTATCCTTACCCTCCCTCACTCTCTCTCACATTCATCCTTAGCCTCCCTCACTCTCACACTCACCTTTACCCTCCCTCACACTCACCCCCACCCTCACCCTTACCCTCCCTCACTCTAACCTCTACCCTCCCTCTCTCTCACACTCATCCTTACCCTTCCTCACCCTCGCATTCACCCCTGCCCTCCCTCACACTCACCCTTACCTCTGCCTTTCCTCACACTCACCTAACCCCTTCCCCACCCTTACCCTACCTCACCCTCACCCTCATCCTCACCCTCGTTCTCCCTCACCCTCACCCTCACCCCTCGAAGCTCAAAGGGAGGACAGGATTAGGATTAGCCAAAGGAATAGGACACGTGTGTGGGAAAGAGTGCTGGGATATTTTACAGTGTGGGAGAGAGAGGCGAGGGGCGAGATGCCACAAGGGAGTAGTGTGTAACGCAATATTCTTCTCAACTTTCTCCCATTTCTAAGCGGGGTCGCCGTTAAGGATGAACTGCTCTATTACGGCTCATTCCACATTGGCTTTGTATTGCAATGTCACACGAAATCTCCCTTAAAATCCTGGTGAAAGGGTAATATAATATATATATATATATATATATATATATATATATATATATATTATTGGTGCTAAACAGTGGTTTTCATTAAGTTCTGAGAGGAGGCTGACTGTGATATGTGTAATAAGCCTGTTTACAAAGCAGAATTTAAAACATTGACCTATTTGTAATGCTCGGTGATTGAGTGCTGTAAAGTTTCTAGTTTGTGTTATGCATATCATAGCAAACAGAATGGTAATTCCTACCTCGTTTGTTATTCATAGTTCAACCTTTATTGCAAGTTTTACTCGAATTAATTCAGACATGAACGCACTCACCACCCTTTTACCTGCGTTCGTTAATTAAGGAAAAAATAGGATGCTGTGTAATCAGACTCTGTGGGGCTCTATTATGTACGCTTTTTACTGTGCTTCAGAATATGGCATTTCTTTTATGACTAATAGAAATAATGATTTAATGATTGGCTTCATTAAGATATCGAGAACAGGTCATTAGGGGAGTCTAACTTATGATGAAAAAATAGTAATTCAAACCTTTTGGAGAATCTGGATACCTATTCCCTAATTAATATGATATAAAGCAACTTTTGCAATATTTGAAGCATTTCCCTGTTAATGATTCCAAAGCCTTGACGAGCAGTGTGCTGACCCCCCCCTCCCGCAGGCCTCGGCGGCAACTCCCCGAAGGACGAGCAGAAGGGGCAGGTGGCCGCCACGTACCAGCAGCAGCAGAAGCAAGCTCAAAGCCAGATGCAGACTCAGGCCAACCTGATCACGTCCCAGATGGCCGGCCAGCAGCAGCAGGCTCAGATGGCAGGCCACCAGCAGGGCCAGATGGTGGGCGGGCAGCAGGTGTACACGTCCAGCGGGCAGGTGGTGACCCAGCTGGCCAACCACGTGGGCCCCGGAGTGACCAACGCGCCCAACACGGTCGTCGGAGGCCAAGTTGTACAGAATCCTACCGTGGTCGTGAGCGCAGGCCAGCAGCCCGGAGGCCAGCCCCTGCTCTTCCAACAGATGACCCCCGCACAACAGCTGCAGCTGCAACAAATGCAGCTGCAGCACCAAGCACAACACCTGAAGAAGATGCGCCGCCAGGACCAGGCGGCCGCGCTGCAACAGCAGCTCATAACGCAGGGCAAGATCTCGCCGACGCCCCTCAGGAAGGACGCCCCGACTGCGGTCCCCGGCCTGCAGCAGCTGCAGAACCTGCAGCAGCAGCACCTGGCAGGGAAGGTGGGCGCCCGCGTCAACTCGAACCTGCCGACGGCCGCCCTGCTGCAGCAGTCGACCATCGCCACGAGCGACGGGAAGCCGCGCATGTTGGTCATGCCCGGCCAGACCATACCCACCTCGGAGACGCCGCTGTCCTCGCTCCATAGGTAAAGCCCAGGGCGGTGCCAGCGCCTTGTCCCAGGCGTAGGTCCCCGAAACGCACTCTAGCCGAGGCGCTCTCACTGTCCGCTAATGAGGTTGATCCGTAAGCCCTTCCGATCCATTGCGAGCCTTCGATGCCTCTTTGTCTGTTCGGTTGGATTATTCTGTCACTGTCTATTTGACTCTTCCTACAGGCTGTTTACCTTACTAATCAATCGCATTTCACTCACAACTCAAGGCGCATAGGCAGGCAGGATGTAGGGTGAGTAACCAGCATACTTTTATCCGGAATTGATATTGAATAGATTTCCCGAATGAATCAAAATAATTACAACTGCTCTCGCCCAATTTTTTTTTTTTTTTTTTTTTTTTTTTTTTTTTTTTTTTTTTTTTTTTTTACCGAATTAACGTATTTTCATTATTCCCCTTTTTCTCCCACCAGCCTTTTTATTCCCCCCATTTTTATAATAATGATAATTTGCATGAGCATTATCACTAAA